AGAAATTTCATTTTTCAGAGAAGACATTTTGAAGGAAGAAATATGTGAAGAAACTTTACTTTCTAAGGAGAACTAATGTCAGAAGAAACTTTACTTTCTAATGAGGAAATAGAAGAAATATCCATTTTCATAGAGTTCATATCAGAAGACATTTCGATTTTTAAGGAAGAGATCTTAGTTTCCACGGAAGAAATTGAAGAAATTATTGCAGAAGATGCATCATCCGAAAATATATACGTTTCCGGATCCAATCCTTCACTTTCTAGTGCTTCCTTAAGACGTTCTGCCAGCTCTGCTTTCTTCCCTGTCGTCTTCAGATCACGATCTTCTAGTTCTCGACGCAGCTCAGACACCTTTAAATCGCACAGTATTTTAGCCATTATTGTTCACTATTTATTTACACTATCTCACTTCTCGACACCAATGTGATGTTTGTTTATTTTAAACAACAGTTTATTTATTGATAATTTATTTAAACACTTATTTATTTTATAACACTATTATTCTAATTTATATATATTTTGAATGTCTTTAAACTGTTCGCTATTTATCTTCACTGTCATATAATAACTAATGACCTCTGATCCTCGACAAATATTTATATACAAATTTTAAATTATTGGTGGGGCTCCAGAACGTTCTTTCCAAAATTAGAAACACTATTACGTTATATTTGGAATACACTAGTATAATCCCGTTCTTTCTCGAATAGTCATCGAAAGCTCCTCCGCCATAGTCATCACATATGTTTGGTCTTATCTTATGTATAATAATCGGACAAGTTAAGCCTCAAAGGCCAAATAAGACAGAAAGGGACTTGGAGGATTAGAGCATGACTGAATAATGAAATTCACATTACATTAATTTTTTGTGAATAAAAAATATATACCTTCAGGTAAAAGTGAAATTATTCCGAAATTTGATTTAATTATTTTCTCAAAAATTGAGAAAATCATTACACAAACAAAAATTTGCGTTTTTGCCATCAAAATTTTATAAAATTTTAAAAAAGTAGCTCCAGAGGAACATATTTAACGTTTACCTACACGTGTTTTTTATTTCATTAAAAATGAAAAAATCAAATGAAATTTTGGATGGCTATATTTCGTATGGATAGAAAATAATAATTGCTAATGTACATTCTCCTTTTAGAAGAAAAAAAAACCGCCAATTTTCAAATTAAATATATTACAGGGTAGCTACATTACCGACAGAGTAATAGCGTAGTTAATATAACAGGTAACTACATTACCAGCAGAGTAGGATTAGTTCAACCACCCGCACTTACAGGTCGCTGCCAGCAATCTTGTTGCCAAATTTCTACAAATAAACGGCAACTCTCAACTATTCTTCCTCATTGGATGGACACCCATGACACAAACACCTCTAGTGATATTATTAGCACAGCTTATACAATACAGCTCCACAACTCCGTGTCGGCGTCTTTGATCTGGCGGTCGAGAACCAAGCAAGACGGAATGGTGCTATCTCTGTTAGATTCGAGGGAAAAGTCGGGCCCGGATTAAACAATTTTTTTATTATTGAAAAAATTGAAAACCTTGGTGTAATAAGGTTGGTTACATGCCATATTAAGTAAGTTTTGGGAAATTAAATTTTTAATTTGTTTTAAATCTGTCAAATATAATTAAAAAAATTATTTAAATATAAATATTACGAAAAATAGCACATCTTTTAGAGGTAAAATAATTTGTATGTGGCTAGTAAAATCCGCGTTAACAAATGTTTTGAGCTAAAACAGTCACTTCACGACAAATTGTGGCTTGGATCCTTTTTACACCAAGGGCTTCAATTGTTAAAGAATTTTGTCACGCTCGTGGATGCAAATCAAGTGTGTCTGGCAAGTGTTACTCTTCGCGCAAAGGGTTTATACCTAGATAAACGAATGCTTCGACTAAGGTCTGGGAACTCTATGGTATTTTGGAATTATAAAGAATTTGTGCTTTTATTTTAACAATATTGGTTATATTTAGATGTATTCTTATTAATTGAAATACAGATTTGTAGAAGTAATACTTTGACAGTTTTTATTAATATACTCGTAATATATTCAATTTTTATCTGACCATACCGAAGTAGGGAATTTTGAAACTTTATAGTAATGTGAAATTTGAATTACAATATTACACGAAATTACATAAGTAGTACTTATTTTAGGTAGGTACTAAATTTGTACTTGGAGAAAGTAATATCGATTTTTACAAGAAAACTTGAAAAGTAAATTAATTTAGTTCCTATTTCTGATGTAAAACTTAAACCAAGAAAACAAATGAATAGTAGTTAGTTCAACAAGGGTGGATATGATAGCCATATCACACAAAGACGAAGTTTGAGCACGACGTCGTAGGCGGAGTACTCAATCGTCTGATTGTGATATGAACAATCCACTCGATATGGTCAGTATATTTTTTCTACGACCCACTAACGAAAATCTACAAATTTAAAAAAATATTTTAGGTTATTTAGACAAAATAACTAATTTTAAAATAATTTACGAAGTTGACTAATTTATAAAATAAAATAAAATAAACATGAAAAATTAATTAGTCCTCGGCCTAGATTCGATCCCGGGCTTTTCGCGTAGAAGGCAGATGCTCTGTCCTCATCTTCACCGAAACTTTCAGGACTTTAATTTTAATACTCGTAATTAAATTAGTATCATGTAGTTTGATTAAAAAATTTTTTTTTTAATGTGGACACAATAAAAACAAAAATGCTATTATTTATCGAGTCTACACAAAAATTTTACTGTATATTTAATATCAATAACTAAAATATATATTGACAATTAGTTTAACAGAATTGTCACTTTTTTAAAAAAATTTAAATAATAGGAGTTGGGTGACCAAAATATGAACGTGATATGTAGATTTAATTTTGTTAAAGTGTTCTCACTACCTAAAATGGATATGAAATATATTTGTAGTTGAACGCAATAGCATACTTTTTCGTTTTGTAGCATGTGCATAGATTGGCTAATATCCATGCACAGATTACAAAACGAAAAAGTATGCTATTGCCTTCAATTGAACAAATATATTTCATATCCATTCTAGGTAGTGAGAACACTGCAAAAAAAAATTCTCCAATCACCGTTCATATTTTGATCAACCGACTGCTATTATTTTTAAAATTTTAAATAAATGACAATTCTGTCAAACTAATTGTCAGTATATTTTTTAGTTATTGAGATTAAACATACATTAAAATAGGTTATTCTTTTGGAAAACGTTAGCATGGATGACTAAAGGGTATTGGGTTAATTAATTCTAAAAGTGTGGTACAAATGTTATTTTTTGTAGCCAATTCTTCAAAATTATTTTGAAATATCTTTTCAATATTGAATATTAGTTCTACAAATTCATCATTTGACAGTTGCAGATTTCCAAATGTATCTGAATTGGCGTTATCATATGCCTTTAAAAAGCAATAAAAAGAAAAATCATCTAATTCAACGTGATCTTTGTTATATTTAAGACAGGTATCACAGGAGTGGATCCGCAAGGCTTTTATTAAAAGGTAACCACACACATACCTGTTAAATTTTTTCTGTAGCAACTCGTCTTTACAATAATTTAGGGTGTTAATAATTTCATCATAAAATAAAATACAAGGTGTTCCATTTAAAAAACATACATTTTAATTTGCCAGGCAAAAACGTGACACCCTGTATATCCAAAGATATTTTTAAAATATGTAGGTATTTTTCAAATCCATATAACTTTTATTTAAAACTTTTTTGCGTGTCTACAACAAAATAATGAACAATAACGCACTAATGGGACACCCTGTATAAATTATATTTTTAACAATGAAAATTTCTTATAATGTGTTACTTATCGGTTTGGGTCCTTGGGAAAACTAAAGAATGTTTTCTTGCAGGTATAACCCTTATTAAAACAGCTTTTGACTGCACAAACAGAATGATGTCTTTTTTTTTCACTCATTCTACTCACAGCTAAAGAGTCACCAAAATAATAACAGTACCTTTAACTCAAACAAAATCAACGAAATTATAGGCTCCACGAAATTATACAATCAACGAAATTATACGCACGACTCAACATCTTACCTAAGTACGCATCTGAACGCCAAAACCATCTTTTCCCTCCGAAGGCGGAGCTTAAGCGATGCGCGACGAAATCGACGCAAACCGTTGCCGCCAAGAGAGTGTTTTAGCTGTATTGTATAAGCTGTGTTATTAGTCTTAGTTTGTATTATTTTTTTGAGTTTTTAGATTTTTTATTTGATGTGTACGCCATAATTTATTATTTATTTTGAATATATGAATACTAATTGTATGATTTTTAATAACAGTGAAATACTAATGAAAAAGTTAGCTTAAGGGACTTTTTTGTTTTTGCCAAGCATCGGCCATTTTTGTACATTCTGACAGGATGTTGGATTGCCTTATTGGAAATCAGAATAGAAAACATAACAATAAATTTTGATGATTTTAAGAGATCATAACTGCATAACATTCTTATTCCATTTATTTTGGAAAATTATATATTTTCTCACCAACCAAAATGTTCTTATTAAACATCACTTCAATCTTCAAATTGTTGTAAACCTTTGCACGTTATAGAGCTGCAGTATCTCTTATAAATGTTCTAAGAACCTTGTTTTGTTAATGAATTCCCATAAGACTTATTTTATAAAAGTTCTGACTACAATTATAAAACATTTTTGTTAGTTATGTAGACGTCAAGCTAAGGCATACGAAACAACATTTGAAATTTAATTAATTATTCCTCCTGTCATTTATGATATTTGAACGTAAAATGTTGCTAAAGTACTTTGTAAAAAATTATAAACTTTCCTATGGATTATTTAAAAAATGGCTGTATAGATAATCAATAATTAAAAGTCAAATGACATAAGATAATGAGGAAAAAATAGTTTTATCTGGGTAAAACTCATTTAGTTAATTTCGCTATTGCATACTAATGTAAATATGATAAAAATGTTCATTTGTTCATTATCGAAGATATATTAGTAACATATACATAAAAAATACGAAAAAATGTGTATGACAATGCCAGAACGTTGGACGAACAGCAGCAATTTTTGTTTAATAGAAACCCAATTTCATTTAAAAAAATACCGACATTTTTTGAATTGGAAACCAAACGAATCCATTCTAGAAGTTGGATTTGCAAGTGGATACAACTCTTCTCAATCTTTGCAACCAATCTTACCAAAAGATTACAAAGAATTTGTGGCTACTGATATTTCTGATGTTATGATTGACTATGCTAGAGAGCATTGTGATATTCCTAAATCGAAATTTTATCAAATGGATATAGGAGGAAGCATTGATGAGAAATTTTGGGAAAGATTTGACCACGTCTTTTCGTTTATAGTAATGCATCTGGTGAAAAATCCTAGGTAAAAGAATTTTAGAATATATAATTTTTTTAATATAAACAACGTTACTACTAATAACTGATGTAATCACAGTGTGTTATTTTAACCAGTAATTTAAAATTTTTGCAGCGAGTGACGCCTAGTTTGGAATGTCAAAGATCTGTTTAATCATCTTAATTTTGTTTCTGTTTTAAGAAGTGTAGCATAATAGACATATATGCTACTCTCCACATTGATAAATTATGTCTATTTTAATTGGTGGACTGAATTTAGGTGTTGATTGTTTCGATTTAAAGTTGTATAGTTGAAATTCAAAATTCACTGGCTACACTAAATAGCTTTATCTGTCGAAGATCACGAAAATACGAATTTGTACATCACGTAACCTATTCAGTAGACATTTGTTAATATTTGTTAGAAAACTAATAACACAGCCGTTTTATTTATAATTTAATTGAGAATTAATACTAAATGCCAACATGGCAGCGCGGAGCTTCTCAAGCCATTTGAAAAGGCCCAAGTAACACAAAAAGTTATATAAGGGTTATACCGGTGATACAACAACGTTTCTTAAAACTCAACAACTTACATATTCTAATAAAAAACAACAATAAATGTATTCAAAAGTAACCTCAAACAATACTTGATAAATAAACAGAACGGATATACTTTCTTGTGATAATACTCTTTAAACCTGCCCTTCTTAAGTATTTTCCTTAATTTATTGTTATTTTACCCCTCGGTTTACCCGAATTTATTATAAATTATTTCTGTTTTGAGATCATGTACTTTATTTTAAAAAATTACTTGATGTTATATTAATACTACTTACTTACTATGTTTAAATTATTATTAGTTTTGCGACGATAGGTTATGGCAACTTATAGCCACAAAACTATTTTTCTGTTAAAGTGGATCCATAGAGAGCAATGTAATTTACAAAGGCCTTCTTTCAACATACAAATAAATGACAACTTTATAATTAAAATAAAAAACACAACAAAATACCTCGGTAACATAATTGATCAAAATTTGAAATGGGTTGATCAAATTACGTCATTAAAACCCTAAGGTAAGAAGATTCATTTTTTAAATTTTATGAATTAAGGAAATTTATGACTAGGAGTTTACTAATTATGATTTACAATTCGCTGGTTGAATATGTAATCCAAAATCGTATAATTAAAATTATCTATAAAAAACCGCATTATATCCTACCTCTCTTTTATATAATAAAAAAGTGCTTTGTATAAGAACATTATATTATCTGTCTTGCTTTACCTTTATTTATGGAAAGCCTGAATTAAGATACACTACAAATTATTTGCAATAAATATCAAAAGAAGCATACATTTTTAAACAATTTGACATTCAAGAGCCATTCACACATCACAGTTGACTTCTTGATACTTCACGGTGCTTGGGAACCAGCCTTAAATGAAAAGTTTATTTACTAGACTTTTTTTTCGGTCAAAGTATTTCTGAAGGACTATAGATTGGCGCAATATATTTTTTAAAATCGGTTCCAGCAGCCGTTTTTGAGAAAACTCGATTTTTCATGAAAAAGTTACCTTTTTTTTACTTTTTTGCTTATATTTTGCGCATTTTACATTTTCTCGGCTTGCCAAAAGTAAATTTCAATGGGAAAATGTCCGCTCTACAAAAAAGCATCAATGACTTTTTTCCATTGAAATTTACTTTTGGCAAGCCGAGAAAATGCAAAATGCGCAAGTTACAAGCAAAAAAGTAAAAAAAAAAGGTCACTTTTTCATTAAAAATCGAGTTTTCTCAAAAACGGCGGCTGAAACCGATTTTAAAAAATATATTGCGCCAATCTATAGCCCTTCAGAAATACTTTGACCGAAAAAAAAGTCTAGTAAATAAACTTTTCATTTAAAGTTGGTTCCCAAGCACCGTGACTTGACAGACACAGCCAAGCATTATTCTGATTTTTGCCAAATAAACTGGCCGGTTAATTTGAGAGCCAGTAAATTTGATGAAGGTGTTTTTGTGGCTAGTGTCGAAATAGTACGCTTAAGTTAGCATCACCATAAAAAAGTCATTTTTAAAAAACTGCTTACATATTTTTCATAAATAGGCAGGCTTGGCGACTAATTTCAAATAAAAATAGCCTCCAAAATGGCTATGGTTGCAAGTATGAAGCTCACAACTTGCCTTAGAAATTTAACCTTTACTATTAACAGCTCTTGTTTGACAGGTCGTTAGAGAATGTTTGCAATTTATAGAATGTTAAGAATGTTAGGAATGTTGACGTTACAAATATTTGGAATTCCTAAAATTGTCACATAAGACATGCATAGGCTGATTTTAAGAAAATTGATATTAAAATAGTTAGGATGAACCAAAAATTCTGAAAATCAATAGGGTTCTAAGTCAGAAATAATTATTCATGAAAATCAAAACCGCTAGTCAATCAGAACTTTCATTCTAGAGTTATCGTACCGGCATACATACACACAGACGACCAGACGAATTTTTTTTTTGAATTTGTAAGAAAAATTTTTCGTCTACAAGAATGCAATACTGAGGCCCCATAGGAAGGGCCTCAGTAATTGACAGGCTTGGCGACTGACATTTTGAATGAAAATAGCGTCCAAGATGCAAGACTATGTCGCTACCCCTTAGATATACGAGACCTTCCCACTGACAGGTATTGTTTGACAGGTCGTTGGAATGCCTAATCAGGCATTCTCTTAGACTAAGGGCATTCCAACGACCTGTCCAAATGGCTACCAGTCACATACTTTGATTTTCTATTACTATACAGAGAATGGTCACACTGCGCAGCTTTCTGAGTGCCTTTAAAAGGAGATAGAAAACTCCGCCATTTTGATGCCTTATTACGTGTTGCCTACATCTTGGCGCAATATTTTTAATAGGTGCGTTTTAATCATCCGCTTCTGCTTCGGAATTGTTGGTTTTCCTGTTTTAATCTGACAGGTTAAAACGACTAAACCGACAATTCCGGAAGGAGAAGAGGATGATTAAAACGCACCTGATATTTTGCTTGCTGCTGTCAGTGTCAGTAAATATTATTTTTGGAAACACAGTTTATTGCTAAAGAATCAGTTAGCTTACTCGGGCCAGTTGAAAGTTCCAAAATAACATCCACTCAAGGGATACAAATTCAGGATGCGCAGAAGACTGCTGTTTTATTATAGGCGGTTGTCATATATTGTATTATCCGAGTTGCGCAGTGTATAAACTGGAACATTGAGTTCAAAAGTGCCGACGCAGAGTGAGCGAACTGATTCTTTAGCTATAAACTGTGGCAAAGGCATCAAAATGGTCGCGCCCTATGTTGGGCGTATCGGACCTCTCTCTTGCACCGTATAGAAATCAAAGTATGCGCTACTAGTGGGGACCAATGAACTGGAGGGGGGTAGAATGCTAATGTACATGTTATAATATTAGAACAAGGTGCGACTCGATGGGCGCAGCCATTTTTATTGTTCATCTCACTCGAGACTATTTATAATAAGCATTTTCTGTTTTACATTGTTATTGTTCAATCCACAAGCTGGTGGATCAGACAATAACAATGTGAAATAGAAACTGGCTATTTTAAATACTCCCGAGTGAGATAAAAAATAACCTATCTTCGCCCATAGAGTCGCACATCAAGTCTATTGACAAGCATTCTACCCCACTCCAGTTCATTGGTGGGGACTGACAGTTTAGATATGGCAACCATGTCATTAACAGGGTCAATGATACATATATAGTCATATAGATTGCTCGAAGCTGGTCGTTTGCGAGCGGCCATATTGCCTGGCAAATATTTATTAATTTAAATTGGTTTAGCAAAAATGTGTTTTAAAACCAATTTCAGCTTTGGATATTAAAAAAAATAATTGCTTACATTTTTACTTCAAGGCATAAGCTTATGTTTATTTTGAAAAATATCAATGATCAATCAATCTATTTCATTGACCTTGTCAAATCACCATGCCTACAGGGTTGCCATAATTTTGCCATATCATAACCTGTCAAAACCCACTGGTAGCCATTCAGTTTGGAATGCCTAATTGTGAATTATTGATTATTTTATTGCGTCAAAAATGTCTTTGGGCTATTTTGTGTGTGGAGTTTCTGTTACCGATGTAGCACGTTCCTGGAATACTTTCTACAGGTAGTAAATGAATATTTGTTTATATACGTAGAACACTAATATCCTGTTTCTTCTAAGAGGGAATAATTAAATGAATTTAAAATAAACATCTTAATATAAGATTTAATTCATATATTCGTCAATTATCTCTTTTTTTTTGTTTTTATGGAGATTTCGAGAACTATTAATATCAAAAGCCTCCTCCCTTTTAGATAGCCATTTTGAGTGAAGTTAAAGTAAAATTGTAAAAGTAGGCGATTAGCCATAATAACTAATAATATTCTAAGAAATTCGTTTTTTGTTTGTTTTGTTTTGTTTTGTTTTATAGGTAATTGTTCTTTCGGTTTTTATTAACTTTCTGTGACTAGAATGGTCTTACCTACCTAAATTTCTTTTTAGAAGCTTCTATACAAAATCCTAAGAAAGAAAAAAAAATCAATCCAGTTATGGCTAAAGAGGAGTGATCGAATGCACTACCAAGAAAATAACTCTTAGTGGCCTGTGATTAATAGATATTTTATCAATAAATTTTAAATTATTTTATATTATTATAGACAGGTTATAGATTTAGCAGAATAAAAATAATGAACGTGTTATTTATGGCTTATTTAAGACTAATCGGACCATTATGAGCCATTAGTAAGACATCTTTACGACGTCTTATTTATGGCTTCACAAGACCATTATATTAATAAGTCGTCTTAAAGATGTCTTATTTATGGCTTATTCAAGGCTTTACAAGACCATTGTAGCTTATTTTATTATGGCTATTAATAAATCGTATTAAAACATCTTATTTTTGGCTTAGTTAAGGCTTCACAAGACCATTATAAGCTATTAATAAGTCGTCTTAAATACGTCTCATATGTAAAGTGATACTTTATAGCTT